TAATTGATTAACGAAGAACATATCATTTTCGTTTAGATATATTTATATACAGTCATCCACAGACAGTGTGTAATATATATATATATATATATATATATATATATATATATATATATATATATATATATATATATATATATATATATATATATATAGAGACTCTTCGCAGATGCGAATTGAGTGACAGTCGGTCACTAGGCGTGTTTCTAAAAATAAATACACTAAAAATCCACTTTCAGACGGCTTAATGGTTAGAATCTCCGACTGACACCAATTCAGTCGGGTTTCGATCCTAGCTAGAGGCAACCGGATGTCTAGCCACACTGATGAGCTGTGAAACAGCGAAACAGTCTGTCTGTGGATGACGTTATATATATATATATATATATATATATATATATATATATATATATATAAGTAATTCATCGAGTCTGAAAGAAACCTCAACAAAATTCAGAAAGCACTGGACGGCCGTTTCGTCCTATATTTGGAACTCATCATTGAAACCCGGACAGGTTATGAAGCAAACGTCATACCAACTGTTCCAACGGGCCTCAGTGACGAAAAAATTGCAAATCAGACCCAATATAGCGCCGCTCGCTCGCATATTCCGTGGTAGAAATCAGATTCTCTCTAACCATAGAACTGTGCCCCCAGGAGCCACGACTTCTATCACCCAGTTGTTTAAACTTGAGCATTAGAAGCCGGTTCAAGCAATGATATACAAATGATAGAAATTATTAGGAGGATTTGATAATTAGAATTAAGTAATTCAACAGTTGGTATGACGATTGCTTGATAACCTAACTGTCCGGGTTTCAATTCTCGGTAGTGGATGCGCACTGCTGATGAGTCCCAAATATTGGACGAATCGGCCGTCCAGTGCTTTCTGAATTTTGTGTGTGCGTAAATATCCTTAGATGGAGTATATCTGTAGAACAGTCAAAATGAATGAAAAGACGAGAAGAAAACTAAACTTAGTTTTTAGCCGACGCGTTTCGTCATCTGACGAATTTCATCAAGTCAAATATGAGGGTTTTATTTTGCAACTAGTATTACCTAGTTACCCAAAATTATTTTAAATTTAAGAACTCTCATAAATATTCATCAGGTTAACTGAAAAGTTTAGGTGTGAGAACCTAGCCTAAGTCATATAGCAGCTTCGAAAGGAGGTTTTTTTTTGTTTTTTTGTTTATTTGTTTTTTTTTTAATTTGAAGATGCTCATAAATATTCAGCACGTTAAGTAAAAATGTCTAGGTATTTATAACTTAGATTACATCATGTGACACCTTCGATGGGGAAATTTAAATTTAAAGACGCTTATAAATATTCATCAGGTTAACTGAAATGTGTAGGTATTTAGACCTTAGATTACGTCACTTTGTATACTCGAAAAATACATCTCTGGAGTTGAAATGATGATGGATTCAGCCGTTTTACTTTGATCTTTCAAGACATTCGTTGCGTATGCTAGCTCGGGAATGTAGGGTTGGAAAAGACTGGGGTGGAAATTGCTATTTTCATAATATTCGATGGCGGCACGCTCGAGGATATTCTCTCTGAGTAAATTTCTTTCTATTTTGATTGGTGTGACATTTTTAGATCAAAATTGTGGCCGAATTTATTTCTGTGTATGACTAGTGTATTTGCTAAATTGTTATTTTTACGTTCCTTTTGCGTTCATAGAAACGCACTACGTCTACATTTTTTCCCAATATATTGTGAAGAAATATATTTTGAGGAATGTTTCGGTCGTTCTACGTTGCGGCTTTCATCAGATGTATGCCGATGTTGGCGACACAGTAATTGTAAGTTCAATCCCTGGACCGGGCAGTGTGTAATTAGTCGTAAGAGTACGAGCAATAATTGAGAAATTACTAAAAATAAAAACTATACGAGATATCCCTAGATATGGGGAGTAGAACGAGAACTGTCTACCCTTTAGATTGAATAAAGTGTTCAGTTCAAAATACCCTGTAGGTTATCCGGATTGACATACACCTGACGAAAGGCAGAGGGCACAACGACCGAAACGTTGTGAAAAAAACAACAACGATGAGGATAATAAACTAATTAAATTTTGGATTGTAAGCATAATTTTTTTTTGTTTGTTTTTTTTTTTGCGAATACTAAGATTGAATATTAAGAAGTTATATTTTAAAAGAATAATGATCTTTCCAGATACAAGTCCTATTATTTAACCTGTAGCTTGGGGGAGGAGATGGATATCTACCTTTTCCAAGGTTATTTGCGCGTAAGTATAAATATATATATAAACATAAAAAATATATATAAATATAACAAACAAATAAATATATATATATATATATAAATATAACAAACATATATATATATATATATATATAAAAAACAAATAAATATATATATATAAATATTACAAACATAGAAAATATAACAAACAAATATATATAACAAACTCAACTGGAATTCGAACTCGACACTCCTATTTCTCAATCTGAGCTCTTATCCATTACACCACTTCGAACATCCCTACTAAAATAGCCGAGAAAAACCCTGTTGAATTCAGAGTTTTCTTCTCCCGGACAGATTGCCACCCAAGGGAAGACTACCCGGTCAATTTAACACTTAGCTGACGGAAAGCAGATTCGTGACTTTTTCGAGAGTGAATGAAACAGACTCGGTCTGAATTCGAACACAGTACACTGATTCCATTTTCCGAGCTGATAATCATTACATCACACGCACATTACAGCTTTTTTTTTTTAAATCGATTTAACCCCAAACAAGACGACAGTGTCCTTAAAACAGGATATTACTTGGAGTGAAAGTGAATGAGAAGTTTGAAAACGGAGAGGATTAAGGAAGGGGGATAAAAGAATATGGTTCAAGAAGATAGAAAATGGCGATGGAAATTGCATTTAAATTTTTGAAGATTCTAGTTATCAGGGAAACAAGAAATCAGAAGTGATTTCCACATGTGGAAAGTGCGAGAAAAAATGTTAGAGTAAAAATGATGGTTGCATCTAGCGAATTCAACAGTAAAAGGGTGAGACCTACTTTCCAATCTAGTAGCACGCTTAAATTCATGTAGACGGGGCACCCGAGGGGAAAAAAAAAAGCTCAGCTAAGTAGTTACCATGAAAATATTTGTAGCATAGGCGAAGAGAAGCCACGTCATGTGTGTGAGAATGTGACTGAAGACGAAATGCCTGGTCATGACAGATTGTATTGCAATCCTTACTCTGGATTTTGTCAAGAATCTCGAGATGCGCAGTAGAAACACCAGACCAGATATGGCATCAGTATTCAATCCAGGAACAAATGGTAGATTTATAAATGTGAAAAAATCGATTCTGACGAGAAAAATTCCTGGCACGACACAATAAACCAATTTTCCTTTTGGTAGACATAGCAATTCTTATTTGCTTTTCTATAGAAATTCATAGCACAGTATTGTACTATCGAAATACATTGACTATCTGGTAAATAGTGATTGTTAGTGGTCATTATTTAATGAAAAAAATACTATATATTATATGTATGATATAAATGAAATGCTAATGGTTTTACTATAGAAATAGAGTGGGATAATTTTACGCGTAATCTATGAAGAAGTCTTAAGGACTATCGAAACTAAAAGAACATTTATGCACAGAATCAGAAAGAGACAGGTGAAATTTCTTGGATATATATAATGAGGAAGGGAGGCTTAAAGAATGTGATACTTATTGGGTATATCGAGGACAAGAGAGACGGGGGAAGTGAAAGTCCATAATGGGCATATGTGAAAAGGATCGCGGGATAGGAGTCGGTTAGGTTGGAAAAGGGACAAATGTTTCCAAGGGTCACAAGGAATAGGACCACATACGGAAAGAACACGGCACATATAAGCGACTGTATTTTAAATTATTTTATTTTAATAATATATTGAAAATGCACTTTTTTTTTAATTGATAAGATTATCACAGGAATAATGTAAATTCATTTTCTTAGAAAATATAGTGCATAATTTTTCTATTGTACTGAATGGTGATCAATTTCATGCCCAATTTTGATGCAATGGTTAGTAAGGTGTTCTCAGTTACAGCAGATTAGTGAGTTCGATCCTCACTCTATGCTCCATTATTTCAGACTTGTGACACATTTAAGCTACACTTAGCATAATACTATTGTATTGAATGGTTATTTATTATAGTAATAACATCAAAAATTATTTAATTATTTATCATATTTCTTTGCATTATTATTCTGACTTCTTCTCGTTGAAATACCGCTTAACATACGACCACCGAGAGTTAAGCAACGTCGAACCTGGTCAATATCTAGACGACTGACCGCCTGGGAATACCAGCTGCTGTAAGATTGGATGAAGGTGGTGTAATCGATAATGGCTCCGAATAGTTAATCGGAGAGCCGAGTTCCAACTACGTTGAGTTCATTATAGTCACTTACGCGCAAATTCCCCTTGAGAAAGGAACGAATCGTCTTCTTATCCTCCGATCCGCTATGGTACTGTATGCTTGTATGTGCAGGTGGTGTAATGGATACTGGTTCAGGATTTTTAAACGGAGAGCCGAGTTTCAATTCCCGTTGGATTCGTTATAGTCACTTACGGGCAAATGCACTTGGGAAAGATATGAATCCACCTCTCCTCGTCCATCTCCAGATTAATTAGTAGGACTTGTATCACTAAAAAATGATTATCTCCAAAATAAAATAAAAAAATATCTTACAATTTAAAAATATTTAAAATAGCCTAAAAAATACTGATAAACCGTAGAAAATGAATCATTCATTTTCTTCTTCATCTTCTATGTTCCATGTTCATCCAGGACGTTGGCGATCGTAGCTCTCCACAATTTCCTTCCCTTTGTAGCTGCTTGTCTTTATGCCATCTCTCCTGAACCCTGTTTTGCACAAGCTAATTAATGCACTATTTTCTTCTGTCTGTCCCCATTGCGTTCAATATGTACTGTCCTCCTGGCCTTCAATATGTACTGTCCCCTTTGCCTTCAATATGTACTGTCCCCCTTGCCTTCAATATGTACTGTCCTCCTGGCCTTCAATATGTACTGTCCCCCTTGCCTTCAATATGTACTGTCCTCCTTGCCTTCAATATGTACTGCCCCCCTTGCCTTCAATATGTACTGTTCCCCTTGCCTTCAATATGTACTGTTCCCCTTGCCTTCAATATGTACTGTCCCCCTTGCCTTCAATATGTACTGTCCCCCTTGCCTTCAATATGTACTGTCCTCCTTGCCTTCAATATGTACTGTCCCCCTTGCCTTCAATATGTACTGTCCCCCTTGCCTTCAATATGTACTGTCCTCCTTACCTTCAATATCTGTCCCCTTGCCTTCAATATGTACTGTCCCCTTGCCTTCAATATCTACTGTCCTCCTTACCTTCAATATGTACTGTCCCCCTTGCCTTCAATATGTACTGTCCTCCTTGCCTTCAATATGTACTGTCCCCCTTGCCTTCAATATGTACTGTCCTCCTTACCTTCAATATGTACTGTCCCCCTTGCCTTCAATATGTACTGTCCTCCTTGCCTTCAATATGTACTGTCCTCCTTGCCTTCAATATGTACTGAGTGTCACATATTCTAAAACCTCTTTCCTCACTAGGTGCCTTGAAATTTCCCTTTTTGATTTCAAGTATAAGTGCGCTTTTTATTTCCATTCTCTCTAAAATTTTGTCATTGCTTACAAGCAGCCTATTATATGAGTAAATCGTCACTAACCATTCAATGAACAGATTTAACTTGATTAGACATAATTAGATATTAGTGAGAATTATTTCCAAGTATCACTTGTTAAGTTCGAATACATTCTCCAAAGGCCAAATTGATAAATGAATTCTTATAAATACGCTATATTTTCATGTGTAAATTTGAAATTGTCTTAAGATAACATAATCTTTGGCAATTTTTCTTTCTACTAAAAAAGAAAAGAGATTGTGTCAAGTAAAAGAACGTAGTAACAACTATTATGACACAGTAAAAGCCAATTAGTTATCTGGCCTTTTTGTACTGAAATGTAAACTTGTGAAAAAGTTATTAAAATATAAAAAATCTCCAACTTTCTTTAAGAAAGTCTGAAGTGTCTGTACCAAAACAAAAAAAAATAAAATAAAATAAAAAAAAAAGTTGGCTCATTTAATTTCATACCAGCAGGCAAATCTTCCTCGTTGAGACTGGTCAGGATTTGAAGGTCATTAAAAATATAACCTTGGAGCCCCTTCTATTGGAAACGAAGCAAGAGAAAAACAGAGGTAAGTCTATTGACACGGACAATTCTTAGAATTATTTACTCTCAATTGATTTTTTTTTTTAATTGTCTAAGACACCTCATGCTATACTCAATCTTTTTAAGTGCCAGAGCAGGTCGAAGATAGAGTACTGTTGCTATATTTGGCTAGGAGCTGCCCAGTCGTCACTTTCCAATCTTGATAGAGTTCAAATGCGTCTCCGAATCATTGTTGGAGAAGAATTATTTTTCACACTCTAACCCAGGGGTGGGAAAATTACGGCCCGCGGGCCACATGCGACCCGCCAAAAGAATTCACGCGGCCCGCCAAATGTTAGTAAATTTGAAAGAGAATGTTACCAAGCAATGCCAAATAATTGTTACAAGCAATTTGACGCCTAATTTCAACAAACTGCTGCCAGATACATTATTCTCATTGAGTCATTGAAATCCTTCTGTTGCTGAGTTATTAGGTTGGTGCAAAAATAATGACGTAATAATGTCGTTTTTTCACCTATTTTTAATGTCAAAAAACGACATTATTACGTCATTATTTTTGCACCAACCTAATATTTTGTTTTACAAATAAATCTCTTTCATGTAAAGTTACTACTTCAAAATATCAATATTTTTTTTTCTTTAAACTGAATTACTTTGTTTTCAAACAAATCTGTTTCATGTGAAGTTTCTACTTTAAAATCTAAATTGTATTTTCTTTAAATTTAGTTACTTTATATGTGTTTTATTTGAACTTTCTACTTTAAAATATTAATAAGAATTGTTTTATATTTGTTTACGCAGAGTTAAATTGTTTTTTTAAATAAATGTTTTCTACTTTATAATATTAATTAATAAAAATATTTTTTTTATTAAAACAATGTTATTTTCGTTTTAAAAATACTTATTAATATTCTTTCTTTAAAGTACTTTAAACTGAGTTATATTGTCTTTCAAATAAATGCGTTTCATTTTCATCTTCTACAGTACTTTAAAATATTAATTAATGACAATTAATTGCGTTTTTTTTTCTTTAAAAATGCATTAAAAAATTAAGCATTAAATTTTTTTTTAACTTTTTGGGCCCTATAGTATATTAACCAAAAATAATTAATATTTAAAATAGACAAAAGTCAATTATAAATATTAATTATTTGGGGTTAATATAATATTTAAATAGACAAAAGTGTATGTTAAATATTAATTACTTTGGGTTAATATACGAGGCGGCTCAAAAAATTGTGATTTTTTTTTCATGTGGTCCTTGCACTGAAAAGTTTGCCCACCCCTGCTTCAAGCTCTCTATCACAGATGGGATGTGGCGCTTCTCTCACTGCTCTAGTCGCTACTACCATGGAAAGTGCCGGGGACGAACTGCATCTCCTTGTCCCTCTTGGTCTGACCTTCGTCGGCTAGAACCCGCCATGCCCTTACATAGTAACAAACCACTCTCATTCTCTCTGTATTCCATCAGGGGGAAGTAAGTTCCACTCAGACAATTTCTTCCCGCGAACCACATCCCTCTGAAACAGACACCCAAAAGGATGTTTCCCCGATCACTAGAATCTTAATATATTCAATCCTTTGTCTTCAACCGTTGTCTTCCCCCTCTTATCGATATAAACTACCCCCTAACCTAACCCTCTCCCTCGATTGGCTCCTGGCCTTTTATAGAGTGAACCTTCAGTCAGTTATGTGCCATGCGTGGTACACGCTACGGCGATCATGTATCTTTCAATACATGACTGACGATGTAGATACCCCCCCCCCAGTAGGTTACCATTTCTTTCTGCGGTAGACCAGTTGCCATCCAAGACTATAGAAACCGGTCTGTCCTGGGAAAAGAAGATGATTCATACCTTTCCCAAAGTTTTTAGAGCGTAAGTGAATGTTATGGATTCGACTTGAATTCGAACCCGGCTCTCCGATTTCTCAATCCGAGACGCTCTCCATTACTTTACCGTAATGTAAAAATAAGTGAGGGATTATTGCGAAAATATTAGTGTGTTTGAAAAGTAATTACATTTTGCCAGAAAGGATATAAAACCGAATATGATTAAAATTTATAGTAATGGTTATGTTTTAATTGAAAAGATATAAAACCAAATGCAAATTAAATTTATTTAAATAAACCGAAATCCTGTCTTCTAAACACTTTTGTTAACAAATCTATTTATAAAAAAGAGTGTAGAGGTGAAAATATTTGAAATTGACATTTTTTTTTCCATTTCAATGAAACAGATGTCAAACACTTCTTTCTTTCTTTCTTTCTTTCTTTCATTTTCTAAGGGAAACAATGTAGCGTCTCCGATATGTCAGTTCCGCGCTTTCACGTGGTCAAAACAGAACTGCTCATTATTTAAGAGGTATTGGCAGGGCGTAACGGTCGTGCAAACTAAGAAATTAACGAACCAAGGAAGGGGCAGGCAGAATTATAATAGAGTTATTATTAATGTTTTAGGAAAGTAATTAAGTTCGACCAGAAAGGATGTAAAAACAAATTAAAGTTAAATTTATTTAAATATTGTTTATCAAAAATACAATGACCTTCATTTTCAGCGACTGCAGACCAAATTTTCGATTACACATTTTTTATAATATCTGCGAGTTTCCCCAAAAAATGGGTACAAATTTTGTTGAGTATGAAAAATATTGATAAATCTCCCATTCTTAAATTTGTTATTCTTAGGTGTTTATTTTGAAGAGTGTGTTCTTGAATTGTCAAGCTGGAGAATAACATCTGTCCTATTTGCCAAAACAGGATATTTTCGAAGTAATGCTTTGTCTGATCAAAAATCTGGTAATAAGCGATCGTTCTTTCATGTTCCTCTAAATCTATATGCAAGGCATCTTTCATATTCAAACAGACAGAACGAAAGAACTTCGGTGGCTCGAGGCCTCGTTTTGACATTTAGCTTGTTCTGTTTTACGGCATATCAACCTCAATGAGTTATTTAATGCCGACAAGATTTTTTACTAGTATAAATAGAATATGTATTCTTTAGTTTGTATATCAGGTTTCACCAAAATGCATTGTCGGTAATATATTTTTTTTCAAAAATATATTGTTGGTAACCTTTTTTTTTAAATGTATTGTTTTTATTTTTACTATAAAAATCTATTTTCATGTTTCATAGTGTTTTAACCCCTGTTTTGGGGATAACCATTTACCTATAGCTGGGACACTAACAGCGGGCGCTAATTTCGACTCACCCTTGGCAGTCGTAAAATCGGCATCTGGCGCTAATTTCGACTCACAATTGGCAGTCGTAAAATCGGCATCTGGCGCTAATTTCGACTCACCCTCGGAAGACGTAAAAATTGGCATCGGGCGCTAATTTCGGCTGACCCTCGGAAGACGTAAAAATCGGCATCGGGCGCTAATTTCCACTCATCCTATATGTCTTATGTAAATGCATTGTTGAGAATCATACTCTAAAAATGTATTGAAAATTAGAACCGAATGCTTACTCGAAGAATCGTGCTATTATATACATTAAGTAATGCCTCTGCTAATGATTTTATTCTATAAAGCTATTTTGCATTCAATCATCGCCGATCGGACCAAAAACTAACACTTATCAGGATGACCGGATGTTCCCACGGGGAGGCACTATACCTTGAAAGACTCGCACGTGACGTCAAGTGGAACTCTTACATCCGATCCATTGCTAAGGGTACAGGTAATATAGTCGGCTCCTTTTACCACTCCAGTAAATACCTGACTCTTCCTACTACTCTCTACCTTTACAAGAGTTAGATTAAACCAAAAATGGAATACTGTTGCCATGTTTGGGCGGGAACTGCCCAGTTCTCACTCTCCACCCTTGATAGAGTTTAAAAGCGTCTCCGAGCCCTTGTGGGTGACGAATTATTTTTCCACACTCCAACCTCTCTCCTACAGGCGATATGTGGCAAACCCTCTCGCTACTCTAGCGCTATTTCCACGGAAGACGAACTACATTAGCTGGTCTTGCCAATTCAAACATTCACAGCAACGACACGCTGTGCCTCATATATAGTAGCAAACCCCCCACATTCTTTACGTCGGTGAGTGTCCTGGGTATGACGATAAACTACGTCCAACGGCAAGGCATCTGGTCAGGTTTTGAGGAGCGTGGAACCACCTCTTAATTGCTCGTATTCCCAGGTTCACCCTGACCCGGGGTGGTTGCACCTGTTAGGGTCCCAACTATGGGTAAACAGTTAGCCTCAAAACTGCGGTCAACACACAGTGTAAGTGTAAAAATAGGTTTTAAAACAAAAACAAAATAATAATTTGTAAAAAAAATTTACTACCAGCAATACATTTTTGAAAAAAAAACAAAAGATATTACCAGCAATACAT